AGTGTGGGATCCTGCTGTGTGCTGTCATCCCCAGGAGCTTTGGTGTCTCCCCTCAGCAGCCCTGTGAAGACTCGGGACAGGCGTCAGCCATGAAGATCCTGTACCTGCTCTTTCCCCTCTTGCTCCTGTTGGTCCAGGGTGCTGAAGGTGAGAGGGGATGAGGGGAGATGGGGTGGGCTGTGAGCCCCCATCAGTGGGGTCCTCCATGTCCTGAGAAGTGACCACCTCTGTCAGAGACCAGGTGGGCAATGGTTCTGTGCTTGCCTTTTAGAGCTCCTATGTGAAAAGCCGTGCAATGGCATAGATATGAGTGCATTTACAGTGGTCAGCATTTGCACTGGGTGTGGAAGACTCCAGCCAAAGAAAGGGCTTGTCTGCTTCTGATCCTGAGTGTTCCAAAGCTCTGTTGCCACCATCCATGACCCCTGCAAAGGCTGGGCAAGGGTTTTCCATCACAGGTCACTCAGAGGCAAGGCACAGCCAGGACAGGGATGTGGGATGCAAGGAACACCCGGCTTGCCATCTCTCCTGGTCCAGGTAGTGGTGGACATGCAGGGGGCTCACATGCAGTGGGGGAGCCAGCACGGCTCTTCCTCAGCCTCACACTGGTGCTGCTCAGTGCCTGCTCTCATGTGCACCCACACTGGTGTGAAAGAGCCCTTGTGGGTGAGACACCTGGGTGTTGAAGTTGTGGCTGTGGTGATGCTGCATTAGGGACTGTATATTGCCCTGAAATGCATGGGGAGTGTCAGCCTGTCTGCCACCACACACTGCTCTCCCAGATTGTCACTTTAATGGTTTCATGTGTATCATTCCCCATGGAAACAGGAAACCGGTTTCGGTGCAGCCAGAAAAGGGGATACTGCGCTTTTAGACGCTGCCATTACCCTGCAGTAGCTATTGGATTGTGTTCAAGATCTGAAGTATGCTGCAAAAGGTATGGTGTAGATCCCTGGTTGAGGAAAGGGTTTTCTCCTATGTCCACAGAAATATCCGTCAAAGATTTCTTTCTAGCCTATCTATGGCATACACTGTACTTTATACATTTATACATACATGTATACATACATACATTTATGCTTTGAGGAGGAGGCCAAAAAATGAAGGGAAAAGCCCTGGTGGGTTTGGACCTGCCCTGGGTGGTGCTGAAGGAGCCCAGGTCACCCAGCACCTCCCCGGTCTTCTTCAGCTCCATGAGACTCATTTGGGCTTTGCAGAAAGCTCTCCCAAGCCTGCAGAGAGTGAAGCATTCACTGTCCTTAGGCAGCATGACCCTGGCTTTGCTGCATCTGCATAGAGCTGGAGTTAGAGCTGCAAACACTAAGATAAAATGGGTCCAAACTCTGTAGCAAGGACTGAACCTTGCCTCTGTTGAGTCTGATCCTCCCGCACCATACACTTGCTTGTCTTGGCAGGAGAGGTGGAAGAAACAAGCAAGTTACAGTGGGTGACGTCCTTTTGTGCTTTCTTTGTAGCGTCTGGAGCTGAGCCCCTGAACCCCATGAGCAGGACGTCCCCCTCGCTTCTGGCTCCTGGCTCCTGACGTCCTCTCCGCTTCCCACCTCTGCCGTCCCCAGGGGCTGTGACAGCAGCAGTGGAAGCACTGCTCTGCTGGGTGCCTGTGTGCTGGGGACATCCCGACACGGAGCCAGTGCCTCTGGGGCAGAGGCTGCTTTTCCCGACTTGAATAAAGGCGACCAGTTTGGCATTGCAGCGGGTGGGACGTGTGCCTGTTCTTGTGGTGCAGGGTGCGCTGGGCTGGCTCCCTATGGGGTGGTGTCGTGGTTGAAGACCAGCCGGTAACTCAGAACCATGCAGCTGCTTGCTCCCAGAGGGATGGGGAGGAGAGTCAAAACAATGTAAATTCCATGGGTTGAGATAAGAACAGCCCAGTAACTAAGGTATAACACAAACCACTGCTGCTGCCACCAATAATAACAATGATAAGGGAAACAACAAGGGGAGAAATATAAAACTCAAAGGGGAAAAGGAAAAGAAAACAATAGACACAACTGATGCACAAAACAATTGCTCACCACCTGCCAACCCAGCAGTGATCTGGGCCTTCCAGGTGATTCCCCCCAGTTTCTATGTTGGGCACGACATGCTGTGGTATGGGATACCCCTTTGGCTAGTTTGGGTCAAGTGTCCTGTCTCTGCTTCCTCCCGGCTTCCCGTGCCCTTCCTCACTGGCAGAGCATGAAAGATTGAAAAGCCCTTGATCAGGGTAACTATTACTGAGCAACAACTAAAACATCAGCGTGTTACCAGCACTATTTCCAGTCTAAAGTAAAAACCACAGCACTGCACCAGCTACCAAGAAGGAGGAAAATAGCTGTTAGAGCTGAAACCAGGATATGTGGTGCTAGGTTGGAGCAGGGTAAAGCGCCTGGGGATGCTGGAGCTGTCCTTGAGGATGCTCTTGCCTGGCAGTGATGTGGGGATGCTCTTGGCCTGGCAGTCCTGCAGGCAGGGTGGTTGTTGTGGACGTGATAAAGCTGCTGTGCAGATGCTCTCTTGTGGGAGTGGAGCCCAGCTTTGGCTCTGCTGGTCATGGGTGTCCCTTGCCCCTATCAGCCATGGCTTCATGTGCAGGGCTGTGCTGGGTGTGTGTCCCTTGGTGGTCATGGCTAGGGTTGCCCACTCGACCTGTTCTTAGGCCCTGCTGCTTCTCCTTGTCCTTGTTGTGTGCTGTGTGGGATCTGTGCTGCTCTGCACCCCATTCCGCCAAGCAGGAGGAGGGATACATATAGGAGCAAATAGGGATTCTGGCTGCTTCAGTGAAGGCTTTCCTTTCTAAGATGACGAAGCCTTTGCTGTTATTGCTTTCCTGAATGGAGAGTTCGGTGGGGGATGCTCAGATCACCCCTGCCTGCTGTGGCCTTTCCTTCACCTGTGTTCACCTCTCATTGTGCCTGCAGCAGGCACCACCTCACCCTTCATCTCTGCAGCGCAAAGCCCCAGGGGATCCTTGGCCCAAAACATCCTGAACCAGACTGATGGTGGTGTGAGCAGCCAACCTCATGAGTGTCTCCTCCTGAGGCAGAGAGGAGAGGAAGGGAAAGAGGAGGAAAAAGAGAAGGAATGTCTTTTATCTAGAGTACAGAAACTTTGATCTTCTCTGTCATGTTCTGGGTGACTGATTTGGTGGTAGTGAGCTGAGAGATGGGCATCATTCATCACGTGATACAGGTGTATTCTTGCAGCAGTTAATGTGCCATTTCTGAACCCAGAAAACTCCTTGAACCCAAAGGAGAGGTAAAGCTTTCCTCACAGTGTATGAAAGTGAGCAGGTTTCCAATATGCAGCACAGTCTTGCACTTGTCAAGCTCTCCGATTATTCATATCATCAACAAAATGAGAGGACCGAAGACTGAAACCTTTCCCTCATTACTGCTGTACCCTGCAGCAACCAGCCTGCTTTGTCCATCCAGGCAGTCCATGCCCACCCCGTGTGCCCACTGTGCCGCAGGGTGTCACAAGATGTGTTGCATGAGGATAATGGTGAAGATTTCAACAGCCCCAGGAGGCACCTCAGCCTCTCCCACTGCAGCAGGGAGGGACAAGGTTCAACCCCATCTCCCATAAGAGGATGGGTCAGTTTGGGATTGGCCAAGGGGAGATGTGTCAGCAGGAATAAGTGCACGACCCACCTGCCAGTAGTGGTATAAAACCAGGGGGTTTGTCCCGAGTGGCATTCCCTGATCCCAAGGGCATCGGGACAGGAGTCATTCCTGTTGGGTTTGTTAGTACTTGAACACCAAGACCTTCATCAGGTAGGTAAGTGCGGGGTCTCTTCCTGGGCACCTTTCTCATCAGCTCCTGTAACTTTCTAGATGACACTGTTGGCAGTATCCATGTCTATCCTGAGGCCACCTGAGCCTTCCTAGAAGGAGCACTAATTGTCTGTAAGAGTCAATGATTATCTGAATATCTTTAAATATTGTTTTCCTTACAAGTGCAATGGTCAGGCATTACTTCTCTCATGTGTCCTTTAAGAAGATACAGAGAGAAAAGTGAGCAATAAGGCGTTGGAACAACACCAGCTAGATTGCCCAACAGGCCAATGCTTCCCCAGCCTCTCCCAGGGTAGCCAAAAAGCGTGTATATGAAAGACATCCTTCACAACAGGCCACAGTAAACATCATCCTCTGTTACCTGGGACAGCCCATCTGCAATGTGGGATCCTGCTGTGTGCTGTCATCCCCAGGAGCTTTGGTGTCTCCCCTCAGCAGCCCTGTGAAGACTCGGGACAGGCGTCAGCCATGAAGATCCTGTACCTGCTCTTTCCCCTCTTGCTCCTGTTGGTCCAGGGTGCTGAAGGTGAGAGGGGATGAGGGGAGATGGGGTGGGCTGTGAGCCCCCATCAGTGGGGTCCTCCATGTCCTGAGAAGTGACCACCTCTGTCAGAGACCAGGTGGGCAATGGTTCTGTGCTTGCCTTTTAGAGCTCCTATGTGAAAAGCCGTGCTATGGCATAGATATGAGTGCATTTACAGTGGTCAGCATTTGCACTGGGTGTGGAAGACTCCAGCCCAAAGAAAGGGCTTGTCTGCTTCTGATCCTGAGTGTCCCAAAGCTCTGTTGCCACCACCCATGACCCCTGCAAAGGCTGGGCAAGGGTTTTCCATCACCGGTCACCCAGAGGCAAGGCACAGCCAGGACAGGGATGTGGGATGCAAGGAACACCCGGCTTGCCATCTCTCCTGGTCCAGGTAGTGGTGGACATGCAGGGGGCTCACATGCAGTGGGGGAGCCAGCACGGCTCTTCCTCAGCCTCACACTGGTGCTGCTCAGTGCCTGCTCTCATGTGCACCCACACTGGTGTGAAAGAGCCCTTGTGGGTGAGACACCTGGGTATTGAAGTTGTGGCTGTGGTTGTGCTGCATTAGGGACTGTATATTGCCCTGAAATGCATGGGGAGTGTCAGCTCGTCTGCCACCACACACTGCTCTCCCAGATCATTGTTCTGACTGTTTCTCTGTTCATGATTTTCTATAGCACTGGGAAAAGAAGATAAATGCATACGAAAAAAGGGATTCTGTGTTTTTGGGGGCTGCCGTTTCCCCTATAAATATGTGGGAAGTTGTTCAGCATTCAGTCACTGCTGCAAATTGTAAGTCCTGGAAACTGTCTGTTCTATTTGTTCTATTATTTTTGTCTTCCAAGCCAGCTCCTGGTTCACATGTTCATATATTCATACTCAGAGGCAAAAAGCAGGGAAACAAGGGGAAACTCCTTTTGGACTTGGACATGCCTGCTGGGGGACTGTGTCCAAGGGCAGCTGGTGCCTCCTCTTCTTCACCCCCACAATTCTTGCCCACTGCCAGTATAGAAAGCTCAGCTGTGCTGTCTGAACAAGAAGGCTGTCCTCTGGGCAGTGTGAGGAACAGTGTCCCCCTCCTCGTGGCTCTAAAAACCTCTGGTGCCAAGGCTGCCTCCAGTGAGGAGAGCACAGGTCCCAGCCAAATGAAATGACACCAGTTTACACCTGTGAGGTCCTTACCTCCATGAACTTCCTAGCCATAAGAGTGGAGGTGGGAGAGAGAGGGAGATAGAAGCAAGTTACAGTGGGTGATGTGCTTGTGCTTTCTCCATACAGAGTCTGGGGCTGAGCCCCTGAACCCCATGAGCAGGACGTCCCCCTCGCTTCTGGCTCCTGGCACCTGACGTCCTCTCCGCTCCCCACCTCTGCCGTCCCCAGGGGCTGTGACAGCAGCAGTGGAAGCGCTGCTCCTGCTGGGTGGCCGTGTGCTGGGGACATCCCGGCACGGAGCCGGTGCCTCTGGGGCAGAGGCTGCTTTTCCTGCTTGAATAAAGACGATCAGTTTGGCATTGCAGCGGGTGGGACGTGTGCCTGTTCTTGTGGTGCAGGGTGCGCTGGGCTGGCTCCCTATGGTGTAGTGGCAGGAGAAGCACCCAGGGATGCTGGGGATCACTACTGGGGATGTCCCCAAGGATGTGCTTTCCTGGGGCTCTGGAACTGCCTGCAGATGGTGGCTGGACTGCCAGCGGTGTTGGTGGGAGCTGTTGGAGGATGCTGGGGGTCCCTACACCCCCAGTAGCAGCTCCCAGGCTGGGCAACACAGTAATGTCAACCCAGGGGTGTCCCCATGTCCCCACACTGCACATTGTCCCCCTTCTCCAACAGCAAAGGGAATTTTTCCAATAGAAATCGGAGTTCATTTATGGCACCTGGGTGGACAATTCTCTCTACCATCCCTTAGGAGCCTCCAGGAGGAGCTCTCCAACAGGTCTTCTGGCTCACTCCTGGCACAAGGTGGGACTCTGAGGGTGGAAGCAGGATCTGCCTTCCTCCTACCTCCTCTCTAGCAGGGGTCCTTTCCATAGTGCTGACTTGGAAAGACATGGGCCAGGAGATACGGAGATGGTGGCAAAACCTCAACCCTGCAGCATGGGAGCTTTTTACAAGGTCCAAGCTCCACCACTGAAAATCCACAGCAGACACCTTTCCTTATAGACATGGGGTATGAGGCACCCCAGGGCAGATGCCACAGCAACCAGGTGATGTCACATCTGGCTCTTGACCTGAGTGGAGAAAAAATAAACACCTGCACCAAAAGATTCATCTTCTGTCTTGACGTTTTTAACCTGCATTGTGTCCATAAGGGAACTTCATTATATACTGGGAAACTTCACTGTGGCATCAGATAAGTCCTATATTTTTCCATACACTTCATTCATTCATGTCTTACCTGCTGTTCCTTGGAGCATCAGGAAGAGAACTCAAAAAGACCAGTCAAATAGTTTCTTTTCCTGTTTACACCACACACCCCACACTCCCCCCACCCCCCATCCCAAGAATAGGAGACATCACTTTCTTCTTCTGATACCTCTGTGAAGGATGCCCATCCCTCCATCCCTCATGTCATCCTGCCTTGCAGAAAGGGCCATTCAGTGTTGTGGTTTGCTGTACACCTAGGGACACATGAGCACACACACACTGCATCCCTGCTCATTAGACACCAGCACCAACTGCTGCTGTACCACAGACCACATCTTTTTCTACTTCTCTTCAAGTAGCTCTCCAGTAAAACCCAAGATCAATCTTCTGGGCAGGTGAGCCCTCTGCTTCTTCTACCTTTTGTGTGTTTGTTATCTTGCCACTGTGACTTGACACCTCAATGGCACACAAGGAGAAAGGCCAAGAGGCCAGGATCTGCTACCTAAATCCCCAACACGTAACCTCTTGGAGCTGGGGAGACCAAATTGCTCTTACAAACACCTTCAGAGGCAGTTGCCAAGTCAGGTATGCATTACAGCAGCCTTCTGCCTAGCAAGGACTGCCTCTTCTCCAGTTGCATGTATGGCATCAGATGCATTGGGTCGGCAAGCAGGGCCTACATCCATATTTCTTCACCTTTTATAGCTTTAGGAGGTGATGCAGGTTTGTTGGATCATCTGTTTTACAGTCCTTAACAAGTGCTACTCTCACTTTATCTGAATAATCACTAGAGAGACAGTGTTATGCTTATCAACTTTGATGTGTCAGGTATGCAGACATCTTGTCCCAGAAGAAGGTGTTCCTGCAGTGTCTAAAGGTGGGAGGGCATTCAATACTGTGTGTGTTCTTGCACATCACACACTACCTGATTATGCAATCAGATGAGAAGAGACAAAGAAGCACTCCCTTCTTCTGGGGCTGATGCTGCTGTCTGCATCAACCAGTTACTTTGTCCATCCCAAAGGTTTCTCATGAAGCCACCACAGCCGCTGTGCTCACTGTGCCACAGGGTGTCACAAGATGTGTTGCATGAGGATAACGGCGAAGATTGCAACAGCCCCAGGAGGCACCTCAGCATCTCCCACTGCAGCAGGGAGGAACGAAGTGCAACCACATCACCCCCGCACACATGGAAGCTTTGGGTTTGGCCAAGGGAAGATGTGTCAGCAGGAATATATGCAAGTCCCACCCACTGGCAGCAGCGTAAAACCAGGGTGTTTTGGGCAAAGTGATACTCCCTAATACTTCTGGGTGCAAGTGATTCCTGGTGGATTGTCTCAGCCTGTTGCTTCCTTGGTGGACTCTGAACCAAGACCTTCATCAGGTAGGTGACTGCAGAGTCTCTTCCAAGCTGGCCACACATTCAGCTCCTCTGTGCACTTCCATCTTCCCAGAACTGTCTACATGACAAGCTGATTATAAACAAGTGTCAGAGCTGCATGGGAAAGAGAATAAAATCCCCTGATATGAGGAGGGACCTGAGATCTGGGAAAATGGGGACTTTCCTCAGCAGGAGGAGATCTCCCATAATTTCAAGTTTTCAGTTGACTCCAAAGTTGTCTGATTCCATTTCTGGCCACCAACACACTTCCCTGTCCCCTTGCTTCTCCCTGGGTCTGTCCTGCACAGTTCAGGGACAGTGAGTGTGGAGCTGGAGAGTGTCCTTGCTGGAAAGCTTGGGAATGGTCTTGAGTTGAGGATGGGCACTTCCAAGCTGAGCTGGGATGACTTTTCCTGAGCCCAGGGAAGCAGTGGTGATTGGGCAGGGTGTTTTGGGCATCCAAGTCTGGACTGACAGAAGCGATGGAGAGTGCTGGCTAATGCATGGATTCTCCAGGCACATGCATTTCTCTACATTTCAGCGTCTGGTTTGGTTATTGGCATGGTACTGAGTGTTGGCACAATATCACCTCATGGGAAAACCTTCTCTGCTCTGGCATTTATTAGGAAGAGGCAGAAGAGAGAGAGCAAATGCCCTAGTGCCCATCCTGGTCTGTGTCATGAGGTGCATTTTGTGTCACCCCTTGATCCTGTCTCTCTGGAAAATTCTGCCCAGGGGACAAATACGTGCCCTGCAAAAGTTAGGGACTATAACATATAGAAAAAAAGTATTCTTTTTCCTTATAATCTGAGTTTCAGTGGATGTTGTTTTAAGTAAAACGACAAATACTAGCCATCAACCAATGCCTTGAGAAAAACATCAGGAACTGATGAAGAAGATGAAACTCTGGATTGTCCAACAGGCTGGTGCTTCCCAAAATGCTCCAAGAATACAGGAGAAGTTGCAGTTATTGGTACCATTATTATCTCTTTTTGTTGGAGATTGTGCTTCTGCTTTTTGGGTGACCATATGCACCCAGCATTGTCCATGTCATTTCTTTGTTGTTTTGATGTGTCCTCTCTTGCAGCCCTGTGAAGACCCGACCGAGGCATCAGCCATGCGGATCCTGTACCTGCTCTTCCCCTTACTCCTCCTGTTGGCTCAGGGTGCTGCAGGTGAGAGTGGAAGAGAGGAGATGGGATGGAATGTGAGCCCCCATCAATGGGGTCTTGGGAAGTGACCGGATTTGTCATATGTATATAACATTTGGGAGGGAGTAACTCTAATGAATGGTTGAGCAGCTGAGGAGCCAGCACAGCAGTCGCTGTACCTCACATTGGTCTTTCCCTATGAGTTTCAGTGCATGTGCACATGCTGCTGCAGAAGATAACCTCCTCCTGGGGAGGTAAAGATGTTGGTTTTGGTGGTCGGTGCATGTAGGATACAAACACAGTGGCAGTATCAGGCCCTCTGGAACCATGCCATATTTTGGTCACCCCATACTCACGTATTTTGACCTCTTTCACTGTGCAGGATCCTCCCTGGCTCCAGGAAACAAGGCACAATGTCTTCGAGAAAAAGGCTTCTGTGGACTTTTTAAGTGCCCCTTCCCCTTTGTCATCAGTGGACGTTGTACAAAGTTCTCATTTTGCTGCAAGAAGTAAGTTGTGTTATTAGAAATGCTGATGTGAGGGCAGAAAGAATCACTGGTGTGTTTAAGCACTATGACTAGGTAACGGCACAGTGCTGCACATGCAAATAAAGCACAGCCCAGGGGAGAAAAGGAAGGATGCTTGGACTTCCCCTGAGTGGTGCTGAAGGAGCCCAACGTCACCCAGCACCTCCTCACTCTCCTTCAGCTCCATGAAACTCATGCAGGCTTTGCAGAAAACTCTCCCAAGCTAGGAGAGAGTGAAGCATTCACTGTCCTTAGGCAGCATGACCCTGGCTTTGCTGCATCTGCATAGAGCTGGAGTTAGAGCTGCCTACACTAAGATAACACTGGTCCAAACTCTGCAGCAAGGACTGAACCTCACCTATGTTGAGTCTGGTTCTCTTGTACCGTAGACTTGCTTGTCTGGGCAGGAGAGGTGTGAAAGAGTGGGAGGGAAAGTAAGTTATGAGGGGTGACGTGCTTGTGCTCTCTCCATACAGGATGTGGGGCTGAGCCCCTGAACCCCATGAGCAGGACGTCCCCCTCACTTCTGGCTCCTGGCTCCTGATGTCCTCTCCGCTCCCCACCTCTGCCATCCCCAGGGGCTGTGACAGCAGCAGTGGAAGCGCTGCTCCTGCTGGGTGCCCGTGTGCTGGGGACATCCCGACACGGAGCCGGTGCCTCTGGGGCAGAGGCTGCTTTTCCCGACTTGAATAAAGACGATCAGTTTGGCATTGCAGCGGGTGGGACGTGTGCCTGTTCTTGTGGTGCAGGGTGCGCTGGGCTGGCTCCCTGTGGGGTGCCTATGGGGTAGTGGCAGGAGAAGCACCCAGGGATGCTGGGGATCACTACTGGGGATGTCCTCGAGGGTGCTCTTGCCTGGCAGTGATGTGGGGATGATCTTGGCCTGGCAGTCCTGTGGGCAGGGTGTTTGATGTGGATAAAGCTGTTGTGTGTATTTATGACTCTGTCAGCTGTGGCTTCATGCTCAGGGCTATGCTGGGTGTGTGTCTCTTGGGAAGGCATGGCCAGCGATTCCCCTGAACCTATCCCAGGTGTCCCAGCACACAGTGGGATGGGACCTCCATATCCATCATCTGCAGCTGAGTGTTTCAGAGCA